GTTTGGTGATGTTCCTCCCTTCAAGGACAATGGGAGGGAAAGGGACAAGACACACACGTTTTTTTTCCTCAGGAGGCTCTCTCTCGGGATCAGCGGTGGAAAAGAAGCTGCCTGCTCTCTCTGGGACTGCTCATTTTTCTGCCTTTCTTTGGACTTGTTTTTCCTCGAATTTTTTTTTCCTCGTCATCTGAGAATTGAAGGGTTCTCGTGGCACGACAGGTGAGAGGGATCCTTCAGTGAACCACCGGAGAGACTCTGAGCACCCCTCTGGGGGCCCCGGAGGGGAAGCTACTCCCAGGAGGGAAGAGAAAGGCTTTGGGATCTAACAGCTGATTCCACAGGGTTTTCTTTTTGTTTTTATAATTTTAAATAAATAGGGTTTTTTTTCCCCCTTTTCTTTTCACTTTCCTCTCTGTGGAAAAGGTTGTCTCTAGGACCTGGGTGGGGAAAGGAGGGGGGAGGGGGTTTGCTGGAACTTGGGAGTATTTTGCTCCCATTAAATTCATTCAAACCACTACAGATGCCCAAACCACCGTCCCCTCCGTCTCACCCATTGCTGTGACYCTGGGAGCTGTGGCTTTGTCACCTCCCTGAGCTCGTCCTCCCCACTGAGCCGAAGAGGCCRTTGAGCTGTGAGAGGAGAAGGCAAAGCCAGGACGAGGAGTGGCCCCTCGGAAATGGAGGTGCTGTCACAAACCGCAGCTCGCTGGGGTTTGCCGTGCTCCGTGCTTCCTCTGCGAAGTTCCTGTTACAAAATTGCAGCTTTAAAACTTCAAAAACAACAGCCAAAGCCACTCGTGGGTCTGCGACCTGCTGCGTCCCTGCTGGATCAGCCAGTGRAATCAGCGTTTCACTGCGGACTGGGGGGCACGAAGTAAATTAAAAATTAAATTGTTACATCTGTTGGAACAGTCCCAAGGCCACGGGAGGGAAAAAAATTCTRGAAGAGACCTGTGAAGGACCGACTACTTAAATAAAGCAGCCTGAGTGAGGGCTGGTGTCCTGAAGGGTGGACAGAGATTCYGAGGCTGCTGGGATCGAGCCATGTGGGTTTCCCATCCCTGGATATGTTCCAGGCTGGATGGAGCTTCCAGCAGAAGCTGTCCCTGCTCGTGGTGTGGAATGGGATGAGATGGGTTTTAAGGTCATGGCCAGACAGGCTGCACCCCCTTGGGACCTCCGGTGACACACAGGAGAGGGGGACAATGGGGACATGGCACAGTGCCAGCCGTGTGGAGGGAGTTATCCATGGGGACATGGGAATTCCTCTGCTCAGTTGGAACTCCAGGTTCAGAGCATTTTGGGGTCCTGGAGCCAACACCGGGGCCGGCTGTGCCTTGGGACTCTCAGACCGGACTGCAGCTTGTCCTGTGCCTCAGGGCTCCCAGAACACCCCCGGGAATCTCCAGTGGATCGGGGCTGCTCCTGGAYCGGCACTGGGATTCCTGGACAAGTCACAGACTCCTGGAACCACACCGGGACTGCCGGACCTGCACCGGGAATGGCTGTGAAAGCGATCCCGTGCCAGCCCCGAGACTCCTGGACCAGTACCAGGAGCCGGGATTGGCCGGGAGATTCGCTCCCGGTGTAGCACAGGGACYGACCGTGCCTTGGGGCTCTCAAAGCCGCACCGGGGCTGGCCGGTACCGGAGCTGGCCATGCGAGGATTCCCGAAAAAGGCACCGGGACTCCCGGTCCGACCCCGGGGTCGATCGTGACAGACGATCGGGCAGCGGGGCTGGACGTGTCT